TCTCTGACTGCATACATCTATAATTGAAGAATAATAATAATAATAATAATAATAATAATAATAATAACTCTTATTATTATATCTTCTTCTTCTTCTTCTGTATCTCTTATAGCTGTTGTAGTAGAAGCTATGTATCACGCTCCCGGCCGTGCCAAGACCTCATTGCGGTTTCACACGGCTCATCGCTTCCATGCGGATGATTTCATTTCATTTGAACCGGTTTCCAATCACTCTATGACATCATTCAGATATATCATAGAAAGATTTGATTGATAAATATAAGAACTCTACTTCTATACAAGATCAGCAGATTACTCTTTCTTAACAGTGAGATACTACTAAGATATCACTTCAGCTATTCTCACTTATGAAATGAGAGAAGAGTATTCACTCATTATCTATATAGAATAGCTAGATACTGACTCTTTATTAAAGAAGTTAGTGATTTATTTTTCTTCTACTGAAATATATACAAGAGTTACTGTATTTATCATACAATCTTCTTAGTATACTAAGTATTATATCTGTGATATTCTTATAATAACTCTGTAGCTCATGAGCTCACTATTCAAGTAAAATAGTTAAGCTTACTTATACAGTTTCTTAAATAACTATCTCTATATAATATTATTAACTAATCATCACTTCAGCTTCATTATATTATAATTTAAATCACTTAATCTAATTATAAGTTTAAATCAGTTGAGCTTTAATAGATTAATATAATCTTATATATCTATACTGAGACTGGTCTAATCTTACTCTCTGAAAGAAACTTCATATTATTTTCTAGAGTATTTATATCTCTATCTTAGCAGAAATTCAAGATTTCTGAACTTACTACATACTTTAATATAGACTCTTCAACTATTCTATCACTGTCACAGTCTCTATACATCTATATTTATTATGAAGATAGAGAGATTAAGATCAGAGATTCTCTGAGATATAAAGAAAATATATTATTTAAATTTCACAGCTTTATTCATACTCTTGAACAGAAATTTCATCTTAACTCAAGTCAGTATAATACTTATAAGATATAAGTAATATACACTATCAATGTTTCTGAAGACATCTCTGTAATTACTTGAGTTATTAAGAAGAGAAAGCTTAAATATATCAATACTATAATAACTTAAGAAGAATTTAAGAACTTTCTACTGAATTAAATTAAAGATTATTATAACTGCAGCTTCACAGCAGTGCAGTAGTTCAACTCATTATATTAATAAGATAATAAGAATTCTTTCAATTTCAATATAAGATTTGAAGAATATTGAAAGAAATTGACTGATGATTTAAATCAATTAAAAATACAGCTTTATCTCTCAAAGCTGACTTATAAGATATGAATAATAATATCACAGTATCAGAGTTTATTAATTAATTACACTGAGCTTATTAATTTAACTTCTCAGATCTATTTGAATAATTAATTCTCTGAGAAAAAGACTAATAAGATCTCTTCTAAGTAATTAATAACAAGATTTAAACAGTACTGTGATAACTTTAGTATAGAGAAAGTAAAGAAGAATTCTAAGTAGTCTGATTCTTTACTCACTGTAAAGAAATATTAAAAAAGATTTGATAAAGATCTCTATTTTAACTGTAGAGCTGATAATTACTATACTAGTAATTATAAGAAACTAAAGAAGAGAAGAAACTGAGAAGATATCTTCTCAAAGTTAACTTCTCTTCTAATAAATGTATTTATAAAAGATAAAGAAGAGAAAGAAATGAAGAATTGATAATTCTCACATCTTCAAGTTCATATTATAATCACAATGTATATCTTAAATAGAGAGATACTAGTGAGATATTTACTCAACTCTGAGATAAATATTAACTTCATATTCTATTTCTTTTCTTTAATAAAGAATTGAAAGAAGATAGATCTGTCAGATTATATGAAATTTACTAATGAAATAAAATATCACTATTTTAACATAATTTAAGCAAAGTATGTAATCACAGACTTAGAAGAAATCTTTAAGAAGAGTAGTCTGCTTCTTTATACAGTTAATATCATAGATAAGAATATCATTCTAGATCTTTTATAATTGAGAGAAAACAATTCTCTCATTAACTAAGATACTCAGATATAGTGATACTATCTCACTAATAAAGAAACAGTAATAGAGAAATCTGAAGAGTTTTATTAAAAGTATCTTGAGAAAAAGATAGAATTAATATACTATATAGTAGATGACTGAGACTTGAGAATAGATAAAGAAGTTATTACTCTTACTGTAAAATTAGCAGCAGTATTTATTATTGAAGAGAAATATATATAATATCTCTTTACAGATTATAAGAATATCTTTTGAGAAAGAGAAGCAGTAAAGTTTTCTAATATTAAGATATAATATAAGATTTATCTTAAAAACAGTGTAACAGCACTGTACAGATCTCTTTACAACTTGTCTGTAAAGAAATTGAATATTCTGTATAAATATCTTGAGAAAGTATAATAAAAGAACTGAATACACTTATTAAAGAGTTCAGCAGAGACATCTATACTCTTTATATCTTAGAAGAACAGTAGACTACATCTATACATAGACTACAGAGATATTAATAAGATGATAGTTAAGAATCACTATTCATTATCATTAATTAACAAGATGATTAATCAATTATCTAAAGTAAAGATATTTTCAAAGATTGATATATAAGATATCTATCATAGAATCAGAGTTAATAAAGATAATATTTGAAAAACAGCTTTTTATATCAAGTATAGTAATTTTAAGTATCTTGTTTTATCTTTTAATCTTTATAATACTTCAGTCATCTTTAAGATCTATATAAATAAGACACTGCAGAGTCTTGTTAATATCTTCTATATAGTATACTTAAATAACATTCTAATCTTCTCAAAAACAGAGAAAGAACATGATACTCATATTCAAGAAATATTAAGTTACTTGAGACAGTATTTGTCAGGTCACGTGATCTGGCTTACTAATCCTTCCACCATATAACTTTCCACAAGCTAGCAACCTTTCAATCACACAAGCTTTACACCTTTCACAGGTTATGAGACCTGTTTTGTGCAAAATCGCTGCCAATTCGGGATTTCTTGTCAATATAATCATTATTTGAACTACTGCTTCATTCGATACGCTTATCAGGAGTTAAAATCGTCTTATTCTATCAGTATTGATGTGTTTGAGATCTTGATAATCAATAATACTACTGCTCACTTAAAAAAAAGAGGCTTGCAGAAAATGCACCACATTTGCAAAAAAGCAAGAAAAAGAGAATGATATTAGCAAGGATTCAATAAATGAATATTGAGAATTCAATAAATAAATATCAAGATGGTGGATTCAATATGATCCCGCTCACATACATGTTCGCAATCTCGCATTCTTTTCACTGAATCAGTTACAGTTGATGATGATAATTCTTCACACTCACACTCTGCCAGTGAACATTCTTCTGAAGCCTTTGAAAGTTCCACTGGTGAATATTCTTCTGAAGCCTTTGAAAGCTCCATTGTCAAAACACTCTCTCAATTCAAAGCTGGTTTGAATACAGCTTCTGACACGGTCAGACCAGCCTCTCAATCTACTCAATAGCTTGATGAAGCTGGTTCTCTTGATGAGAATAATGAACACTCAGGTGTCTACTGTTCAGCTGAGGCAATATCAGATCAACAGATGAAGCATCTCAAGATGATACTTGAGATGAACAAGAGAAAGCAAAGAGTTCTAGAACTCAAACTACAACTGAAAAAACTTCATTAACAGAGATCCTCATTCTCTATGAATTGATCACAGGATGTCAACAATCATTCTGCCACCACATCAACAGTCTGTACAGTCACATGGAATTCTAATCTCAGTGAAAGGTTGGAATTCAATCTTTATGAACTGAATAGCTGTGTTGACAAGGCAATCTCTCAATTCAAGAAAGATGTCAAGAATACTGTGAGATCAAACAGTCTAACTGACACATTCAATTACATCACATGAAGCATCTTCATGAAATTGAAACTGGTTGATGCACAGTGCTGATATATGATAGAGAAACAACAGACTCAGAACCCTCTACAAAGAGATGATAAATGAGCACCATTCTGAGACGCCAGAAACCAGTGGCTCTACACATTCATCTCAAACTCCTTGGATGCAGGTGTCAGACCACATTTCTCCAAGTATGATGAAAATCAGATTGCTTATACTCTATGAAATGTGATTGAACAGGAATACTCTGTCCTCAAAACACAGTTATGCCATGAGGCAGTTCTGGAATTCATGTCTTTTGATGACACACAGGTCATCAATCTACACACATTCTTTGATAAGTTCCGGTCCGCTATCTTGAAATTGGAGATGTTGAATGCTTCCTCCTCAGATGTGTGAATATTTGATACCTTCTACTCAGTTCTACCCAACAATTGGAGGAATTATGTTCAGAAGAAGATAGAGGAGATACAGGATTCCAAATCCACAGCTGTGGTATTGGATGTTGATCTTCTCATGGAGGAGATCCGTTCGCGGCTTGATTCTTCAAAAGATAAAAAGAATCTACAGAATACAGATTCTGCGGCCAACTCTGCTACAACAGCTACAACAGCTATGACAGCTACAACGGCTACAACAACTATTAACAACAATACATTGAATTCAGCCTGTAAAGACTGTACTGAATGTGATTATAATAGTACTCAAGAGAGCTTCTGAAATCATTGAGGATTGAGAAATTCATCTATATGTTCTGAATGCAAGAGATCTCACTTTGACATCTGTTGATTGATCAATTCAGACAGTGCTTCAGATAATTGAAGTATCTACAATACTGCAAGAATACAGAAATTCAAAGAAAAGAAGGAAAAGAATAATAGTGAGAGTGAGACTTAACTATTCATTACAGATGATTCAGAGACCTTTCAGATGACAAATCTCACAGAGATTATCAATGTATCAGCCTGTTTTGTGAAACCTCACAAGAATTCCTTCAACAGGTGTTTATACATATCAAAAGACATCATGTTTCAGAAGGATCTTCATCTTGCTGATTCATTGATACTGACTACTTCACATAATCTGAAGATTCTACTCAATGCGGTCTGTAAGGCGGCTGTGATGATTTCTTTGATGACACCAGGTCTACTCACTGCGGCCTGTCAAGAGACTGCAGTGATTCCTGATTCATCAATTGATAATCTATTTATTGATGAGGAAATTCGACCTGAGTGTTCATTATTTCTCATACTCACTAATAATTGATGGATTGACTATGATATCTTCACAAGAATACCTACTCTTTTAGTGCAGAATACACTGAACTCTCTGAAACTCACAGTTGAATCTGATGACTCTTCAACATCTACAAGGAATATCACTATAGTGAGGAAATCAACAGTGAGGGAATCTTCAGTGAGGAACAGTCTTGAAGACCTACTCACTGATTCCGAGATCGCTGCACTTTCAATTCTGAAAAACCTCACACGCGCCAAAGCTTCCATGGAATGAAAGTATTATTACAAGGCCTGTGTTAAAGAGGTCAACTGTTTGAAATATACACATTGAAAAGAGAATATAAAGAAGATAAAGGAATAGAGAGATAAAAAATGATGTATATCATAACTAGTTTTTCATTACTTTACATTTTCCAGTCATTTTTTGTACCTGTACTTGATTTGAAGGCGAATTTTGTATATAGCATCGTGTATAGTTACTCTGGTGAGTGGGGGTGTCAGGTCACGTGATCTGGCTTACTAATCCTTTCATTATATAACTTTCTACAAGCTAGCAACCTTTCAATTATATAAGCTTTACATCTTTCACATAATAATAATTATAACAAGATCTTATAAAGAGAATATCAGTGAAAGATCTGAGAGTTCTGACATCTTAGATATATGAGATATTTATACAATTACATTTCTTTCAATGTCACAGATATTACACATCTGATGATCAATACAGCTATGTCTACTGATAATATAAGAGAACTCTTGAACATGAGTATAGATGCAGTGTCACAGTTACTCTGAGTAATGTTGAAATTAAAACAGTAATAGATAGCTAATATGCATATAACTCAACAACATCAATACAAGGAAATTCAATAATTATTTCAACTAGAAATCTCTGTATAAGCAATTTCAATACTAACTGAATCAGATATAAATATACAAGCACTGAAGAAATGTCTAGATACTTCTACATATTTTAATACTTCTAATCTCACTCTCTATTCATCATGAAGATTGAAAATGCTTATAAAACTAAGTGTAGATGAAGATATCATCAGTTCATTAACTAATAAAGATTGATATATCAATCATTAATTGAAAGATCATGTGAGAGTCAGTGAGACAGAACTTTCATTTATAAATGAAAGCATGTAAATCAGTATTGTGAATATCTGATAGTATCATTAAATATCTTGATATTCTGTTCTGAGATACTGCTATGCAACAGAAAGTATTAGATTGATTATGAAGTATCTGACAGAGAATCACTTCTCTTACAACATTCATCTCTGACTTTAATATCAAGATTCTAGAAGCAGATAGACTGACCGTGTAACCGTGTCTGAGACCAGAACCAGATTTTTTGATAGTCTTATTATCAATTTGACCGATCTCATTATACGGTTTTAACATTAGATAGTAGTCTTATACTGTCTCAGTGAGACTTACTGTCTACTCTTGTCACATTTTTCAAATGAGATCATGATTTTCACTTCTCAATTTAAATTTTTTTATTGCTTTAAATGACTTTAAATCTCATTTGAGTGTTACCAAAAAGCATTACTTTTAAAAAAATTAAAAATAGTCTAAAAAAAACCTTAAAATGTCTAAAAATAGTAACTTTATGTTAAGAATGAGACTAAATGAGATCAAATGAGACCACTTTCTCATTTTTTTCAAGTCATGATTTCATTTTAAGATCTGATATATAGTCACTTTGCATGTTTTTTTAATAACTAGTCCCAGCGGGATTCACGCCAAGAAATGTATGAGATCAGATCAAATGAGATCAAACATGAAATTCATGGTCCTGGCGGCCAGTCTAGAAGCAGGTGATCAATCTTGAGAGAATTAAATGAAGATTAATATACTTAAGAAAGTATTAACTTTCACACTCTTACAGATTCTTGTAAGTGTAGATGAAGACTTAACTTATGAAGACTTCTGCATATAACTTTGAACATTGAATGACTGTCTGACCAAGCTCAAGAGTATACAGAACAGTGACAGAAGAGATTACATCTCAGTCACTCATACATATATATTGAAGAATGATAATACAGATGTCATAAATTGAGTGAACTTTAATATCTATATACAAACAAGAGTCTCTGTCACTTGAACAAGTTTCTGAGTTTCTGAAATCACTCTCAAAGAAGTTACTAATTAATGTCAATATAAGATGTACATCAACTGTAACTGATCAGAATATATCACTTTTAACTGTTGATTAATCTATGTATCTCCTCAATCAAAAGATGAATTGATGCCTGTTCACGCCAATCATGTTATATTAGAGAAAGATTTAAAAGATAACTATAAGAATGTCTCAGTGAAACAGAAAAAAAATTAGTTTCTGTTTAAATTCACAAGAAGAAGCTTGAAGAGATCAGATGATAATAATTTAAGAAGAAAAAAATAATGAATATAATTCTTATATCTACTGTGATAGATAACATGCATAATATAAAAGTCATGATAGACAGTAATCTATGTTATTATGCAATAATTAAATCTTCAGTTATAAGATGTTATAATCTTCAGTGTATTCTCTTATCAAAATCTCAACTCTTTGCAGAATTTAATAGTTTAAAAGATATTCACATCTGTCATATAATGAAACTAAACATAGATGTTGAAGAAAATTAACATGAAGATGCTTATCTATATAAAGTTGATAATCTTGACTATAATCTTATGTTAGAACTTGTCTGACTATCTGAACAAGATATATTGTTAAATGCTTAAAACAGAAGCTTAATATTCTCTAACAATGATAGAATTCATAAAGATGATATTGTAAGAAATCCCGCTTCTCGCGGATTCTTTACCTCTATTTCTATCTCTCGCGTAATTAATAGGGCTAGCAGCCCTTGACTACACACAACTATATAGACTGAAGTTCATGAATACTATTCATAACTCAGCTTGAATGCTATTATACATTTAATCTCTACATTTTATCTTTCTACTGTGAATACTTCTAGTAGTTAACAGTATATATCATGTCAAGCTGTAAACACCTGAATAATCATCTATGAGCACTTATTCTTACATTTCAAGCTCAGTCAGTCAGCAATCATCTGTTATAACTGAAAGAACTAGAAACTTATATACTTCAATCCCTGTGAACTCTACTGCAGACACTCAGAAGCAGTCATCTGAACTATGAATAATTTCTATAAAAGAAGTCTCAGAGAACTTATTAATCACTTACAGAATACTATTCTCTGTATCTATGACAGAGAAATTCTTCAAACTCATGAATAAATCAATCTCAGTGAAGAATATTCTTGAGCATCTTCTATGAAATCAAGCTATTTTTCTATAAGAAATGCTTACTGTCTGTAAACACTCTCAAACTGAGTCTCTAGACATGATCTTCAGAGACACCTGCAAACTGAAAAGAAACTTTCTTAAGTCATGATCACTTAAGATCACTTATTAAATCACAATCTATAAAAGCTTTTACAAGTTTGTATTTGAAATTGACTCACAAGCTCAGCTATGTGACATGAAAGATGAAGAAGCTATCATCTATGTAATGACAGATCTTTATTACACTGAGACTAAGAACTGACTGAATTATTTAGAGAATAATTATAAGAGATTCTACTGATCTGTTCTTAAGATCTATCTAAAGAATAAGTTAAGAGACTCTGTAAGCTGAATATAGAATATCTGAACTGTGATCATCAATATTAGAAAAAGAGATAAGAAATCTGATAAAGACTACTCACAGTACTTTATAAAATTGTGATATGAATTGAGATCTGTGAAAACAGAGTTCTGAAATAAGATCTGAATGATGATATTTGTAAAGAAGCTGAATAAAGATATATAGAATAAGCTCATTGAGTAAGACTCTAAGTTCTTAGCTCTGAAGAAACTGATAACTCTCATTCATTACTTACAGATTACTGTGAGAGTCACAGATCTGTAGAGAGTGAATCACTGATCAGCTCTATAAGAGTCAGAACAACAGAGAATAGATTTATTAGAAAAAGATAATAAGACACAGAGAGATTTATATCTGACTACTGAGCAGAGAGAGAGAGACTCACAAGCTTCTATGAATAAAGTATATAATAGAGAGATTAAGAAAAAGAGACTCTACTTTATCTATTTTAAATCAGAATATCTCTGTGCAAACTGTCTGAATAAATTAAAATAGAAATTTAAGAAGTTATGAACAGAGTCAGTAACAGTCTTCTTAAGAGTCTTGAAGCTGATATCTGAATCTGTTACTTCTCTGATGAAAATACTTGTTTACAGAGAGAGACTGTGCCATGATACTGCTGTCTTACAAGTATGAAAAGTATTGATAAACTCAGAATCTCAGGTCACTGTGATGTTTCTAAAGCTCACAGAGTGAATGAGCTGAAAGATGAAAACTAGAAATCTGCTCTTATAATAAGCAGAGTATGAGAACTCAGATCTGAGAACTGAGAGACTTATAAGAATCATCTTTGAATTGCAAGATCTCTCTGAAATATGAAGAAGATTTACAGAAACTGTGATTATCATGAACATTATAGATGACATGTACTTAAGACTTATATGACTTCAAAGACATAATCTGCACATAGCTGTCTGTGAGTTAGATTTATACTTTCAATCAGTGTTAACAGACTCACTTATAGAGATAGAATCAGTTAATACTGTAGAGTTAATTAGAGAAGACAAGCTCATCTATATAATAACTTTGTAAGTGTCTGAGAATCTCATGATTATGAAAACTGAGCTTCAGATATCAGAGAAATACTGAGATCTTGCAGAGATATTCAGCTTAGTAAAGATAACTGAGCTTTCTTCTCACTATAAGAAGAATCTGATAATAGATTTAATAGAAGAACAGAAATTCTTCTGAGAATCAATCTATAAGCTCTCTCATTACAAGACAGAGATCTTGCAGACCTATGTGAAGAAGAATCTGAAGAATGACTTCATTCAATCTTCACAGATCTTTATGAAAGTCTCTGTAATATTTATAAAGAAGAAGAATGAAGATCTCAGATTGTATATAGATTATTATGATCTGAACTTTAAGATAATAAAGAGCTGCTATTCTCTATCTCTGATTGAGAATGTGATCAACTGTCTCATGAGAGCTGTCATATTCATATAACTGAATGTGATTAATGTATATACATGACTGCAAATACTGTCTGAGAATGAATAAAAGACTGTCTTTAAAACTGTACTGAAATTGTTTGAATATCTAGTGATGTCTTTTGATCTGACTAATATCCCTGCAGTATTTCAGTCTTTTAT